TTCAAATTGCACATATGATGAAAACATTTGAAGGATAAAAATTTCCAAAAAAAATTATTATCTATTTACACTTTTCATTAAATCATCATATAATTAACTAGTTTGATTTATACAACATGTATTTGATTTGTACGATGTTGTGTATTATGGACGGTTAACTCAAGTGTAAACACGACCTGCAAAGTTATAGTTTATCAGAATGATAATCATTGACATATACGAGGGCTGTTCGGCAATTATTGAGACAATTACATTTACTCCATAGAGGACGGAGATAATTTCATGAAAATTCATCAACATTTTATATAGAACGAATAAAACACGTGTGCAAAATTTTGAATTCCTATGATAATAAGAAAAGTTTTTGTAAAATGATAAACATGCTTATGTCTATCGACCCGGAGCAGCATCGCATTGAACGTCACGTCACCCGGAGAGGGTTCCGCTTGTAAAATGATCGGGAAACGTTTTATACTTTTCCTTCTTTGTAATTTCATATAACAGTACAAAAATCAAACAGTCTCTTTTCTTAAACTATTCCGTAAAAATGTATGCTATTGCTACCCGAGTGTAAAAATTTCATTTGTGGGAAAAGATGACAAAAAATCATGCAGTGCCGATTTATGCAACGCGGGTCAACGATATTAATACCGTAACGATATTAATACCGTACGTAATATCTGATGGTCGTCCGGAGCTTTTGATTTTACCCACGTTGAATTAATTGTAAAAAGAAATGTATACCAATGAAATAACAAACCCTAACACGTTATTTTTTTTTCTCGTTGTTATTGTTTTTGCAGGTCGTTGAGTTTTGAAAAGAGTTTTCCATTGCGCTACACAAAATTTTAGGTAAACTGGCTGCTCCGCCCTTGACGTCAAAATCCATTTTTTCGTTCTTCGCAGATATTTTTACCGCGCTAAATTTTTTAATGAACTTCGTATTCCCGATCAAAATTCTAACAAAGTTGCACAACATGAATAAGAAATAAATCTAAAAAATTATACACATCAACAGAATTATTTTCGCTCCTAGTATGGGTTCACGAAAAGTTAGAACGCTGGTGTTACATATTTCTAATATCTGATATAGAGACTGCTCCGGGTACCCCTAATGATGACGCATTTATATACCATTGTACAAAAAATATTTAATATTTGTAAAATATTTTTTGCTTTTTCTAATATGTAATTCAAATGTATATGCAATTTTTCCTGCAAAGTTATAGTTTATAAGAATGATAATCATTAACATATATAGGCTACTAGAGCTGATATAATAGTATTCACAAAAGGATCCCTTATTTTCTTTGGTACACAAAAGGGTTAACCGAAAGAGGAGAATGTCTTTGCTTTATACTTGGAATATCAGGATCAAATGAATCCCGAACCGGCTATATTTAAACTTGTAAATCTCTCTGACAGTTGTATTGAAGAAGAAAATATAATTGCCAGGTTTTGTGTTTGCATTGTTGTGTTTCAGCGAAAAGAATATTTCTGCCATAAACTGTAAAAAGTAATTGTGTTGCTCTTTTTACCAAGCACGGAGAAGAACTAACAAGTATTAAACTTTAATATGATCAAAATCACGAAGGGGAGTGGATTTCACTTCAATTTTATTAAAAATTAAAAAAAATTATGTTATTGTACAATGTCGATATCTTTATGACAAATAAGTTTAACATGTGCTAAAATTTAAATACAAAATTTTTTTCTTCATGGCACTAAAGTTTTATTTACAAAGATGCTTACAGATAATTTTTTATACTGGAACAGAATTTTAGTACAACTTTTCAAGGTTTGTGTAGTCATCTCGAAAGAAACACCTTCCTCAAATGATGGTGTCCATCATTGTTGATTTTACCTTGACGTGGAATCTTAACATTTGCCGTATTTCTCTCTTATTTGGCTTCTCTAAACAATTGATTTCATTAGTCATGGCATGTTTGCCTTTAGTTCTGTTGAGTTTATATTAAATAAAATACTTAAGATTGTTTTTCTTGACATATAAAAGTCTACACCCGTGAATAATACATTAGCATTGGCCAATGGCCATCTAGCATAAATATATTAATTTTTCTTATTTTTAAAAAAATTTGAATTCTTTTTAATCATAAACATTTTTCCATATGTCTAAATTTACTCCTTTTTTATTCATTCAGAAAATACCAAACATGTTTGTATAAGAACTCTACATTTCTTATAAGGTCAATATATATTAGGATTTTAGTCTTAAACACGTTAATTAGCACATATATATTGAAAAAAATATATTTTCTAACCGAATACCTACGCCATAGCGAAGTTTTTGTTTAATTGACGTCATGCGTCGTGTAAACATAACCTTTCCATATGTCTCAGTTTACACAGCCAATCACATTTTTTATTCATTAAAACTTAATACCAAATAAGAAAAGTGTTTTTATTAAACTGACATTTAGATATATCAACGATATATTCATAATATTGTAACGATAAAATTTTACCGTATAATTGTAATTTGCACAATTCTTAAAAACATGTTTTTTTTTCGAATAATTATCATATGCATTAACTTTATTCAAAAACGAATTTTTGATTGAGCGGTCATTTTTAGCGGTCATTAAAAATAATGACCGGGTCATTATATCCCACGTGCAATGATTCCTAGGTCAGTTTTGCTGTAAACAGTACCATTTGGAGTCATTGTTGTATTTTAAAGTTTTCTTGCCAGCCAATCAAATTCGAGTATTATCAATAGAGGTATAATAATGTTAATTAATAATTGTAATTTCCCTTATTATGTCGATACTATATATCCGAATGTGTTTGAGATAAAAGATACCACAGAGTCTGAGACATCTAATATATTCTTGGATATTTTACTTGAAAAAGACGTTAATGATAATCCAAGCTATATGATAAACGTGATGACTTTAACTTTTATATCGTCAACTTCCTTTACTTATGCAACAATATACATGCGCCTTCATCACCTGTATACGGAGTATATATATCTCAGTTTATTTGATACGCAAAAACATGCGCTACGTATGAACAATTTCTAAAATGAGGTAAATTATTGACAAACAAACTGATGAAACAAGAATATCAGTAGTCTCGTTTAAAGTTATCATTTTGCAAGTTCTGTGGTCGATAGAAATGACCTTGTCAGTAAATACAATTTATGAGATATTGAGTCAAATGTTGATTGAGGTTTTTCATACTAATTGTGTCCATTATTTATACACTGAATTAACGACGGATTTTTTTCGTTTTTTCCTGATCATGACAAGGAGCACACGGCGTGTGTGACCGGACGGCAGGGGATGCTCACTCCTCCATGGCACCTGATCATACCTCTGATGTCTTGGAGATCTGTGTTTGCTCTGCTCCTATCTTGTATTGTTTTATGGACTTTTGATCTTGAATACCTTCCGTTATCTCTATATGTTTCAATAAACAGTATCTCCACTGGCTTCTTGAAATATCGTTTAAAAATATCGTTATCATAATCTGCAATATACCGGGTTCAGTTCATAGCACATGGCTTTGTTTACCAGTATTTTCCGGGTTCAGTACTACTATATGATTTACCTGTGTCTTAGATCAGGAGAATTTGATTATTCGATACTATTGTATAACTTATCCCGCTCCTAGATCTTAAGAATATTCACACTTACCTAGTTCTTAGATATGGAGAATTTGACACTACCTTATAAAATATCCTGTTCTTAAATATGGAAAATTTAATACTACTGTAAAGGGTATAACTTACCCGGGACTTATATAGAGAGAAATTTGCACTGGTATATTACTAACCCTCAAATCTGGTGAATTTTAAACTAATGCATTACCTCCCCTCTTAGATCTGAAGAATTTGAACCTACTGTATTACTTACCCTCTTAGATCTGGTATATAACATTATTCACCATACATATTTTCATTTCAAATACTGCAGTTAATTTAAAATAAAAAATACCACTTTTTGTTTAAGTGGTGGATCCAAGCCTTGTTTGAACTTTGACACGAGAATCTCCGCCATCTGGCTGATTTTGACTTAAACTGAAGGTCATTTTTCATTTTTACATTAAAATCGTCTTTTTTGTCCACAGTAAGTTTGTTGGCGATCTTCTCCATTAGTAATTTACTCTATCGGGTAAGTTGAACATCACAATTGTGCTAAAAATTTCAAGTTTTACTTTTATTACAAACAATATACACAATGTAAATGTCAAATGACAACTTCATTCATTATTCTAAACTTTTTTTTACTAAATTTGTACATAAACATGATAAAAATACACTACCATTCTATTAGAGAACTCTAAGAGAAAGAAAGAGATGAGAGTCAGAGAGAAAGAGAGATTTTTTAACCTGTTTGATTTCCTCCCTGTACTTTTTTGTGACTCAGTGACGTGTTGTGTTCGTTCTTTTCCTCCTCCCTTTTAGAATTCTACAAGAAAATAGAAACAATAAAAATACAGCCAAGACTTGAACAAATACGATTAAAAAATCTTTTTATGGGATTTTAATAAATTGTGCTTTGAATTCTTTAATTTTTACCCCTGGTTGAAAAGTATGATTTTTAAAGATGTCACAAAAGCTCAAAAATATTCATAATGTTCTGATCCAGTTCACAGGGTCCTAAACACTTTTTTCCTCATTTTTAATTAGTGTTCTTAAAGATAAATTTTCAATAATTTTGATTGCATAAATTCCAAAGTATAATTAAACACCCTTACTAGATCCTGTTGACCAAGTTCCTAAAGTCGGCAAATATAGGTATCTTAAGAAAAATTTAGTGTGATAAACAAAATTTATCGTAATAAATATATAATGTATTAAGGCTAATTTATTAGGTTTGAACAACTTATTACTATTCAAAATAACAGGACAAAGGTCAAGGGTTAAGCTCGAGCCATTATATAATCCTAGGTATTTCACATAATCAATAGTTTTGTTGAATATGAAATTCTTCCTTTTTCCTGGTTTCAACATAATGAACGGATAGATAATGAAAGCAAGAGTGACTGAATTGTCCTGCAACATTTCATGGTATGTACTGGTATATATTACATGATCCGTTTGACAAGTATGTAAATTAATTTGCAACAATCACTGAACAGAAAAATACATGTACACAGTGTATGTAGTTTTTTACTTTTCCATTTGAAACAATTTGATCATTTTAAAGTCTTGTCATGATCTTTGCTATCTTATGGAAGTTTCTATAAAAAATTTCAAAACATTTAATTTTAAAAAATATGGGTTATGAAAAGGAAACACTCAACTTCATATCTGAAATTTGACCTGTCAGTGTGAAACATTTTAGCAGATATTAATACGAGACTATAAAAAGTACAAGTACTTAAGTCACGTGACGAGAACATAGTTCATAGCAGATAACTAGGAAGAAGTACTATGATTCGCAAAATTTAGATTTACAGGTCAGATATGATACACAAAGCTATTTTAACCTTGTTATTTAGTACCATAATTTGTATTTTCAATTATGTGAATGAGTGAATTATTGTTCTATTTAAAAAAGAATTTTACATGGTAATATGGATAAGAAAAAGGATTTCAGTGCTCCAAGTTGTGTCTAAAATGATCAACAAAAATTTGATTTTGTGACTAGAAAAAAAAACTAACTCGCATTTTGCTACCGAGAAAATTTGGGCTGGAAATGTTGTTACAATGCACTTTGAAAAATTACGCACTTTGAAAAATATTTTTAAAGTGAGTTAAATTTAGGACCAAGCTTACGCACTTTGGAAAAAATATAGACCATTTGATAGAACCATATATTACATATAAGGTCATGATATTGATCCATAAGTTGTAAACTTTCTGAAAAAAATTTGTCAAAGCTTTTGTCAATATTGCATATAAAATAATAACGGTATTTTGATAAATTTATAATGAACCTGTAATGGCTTCTTATTTTATGAGAAAGTAAACATGACAAGGACAGCTGAAATATCCTGACTTTTAAATTTCATTTGTGTCTTGATAAGTTTTTTTTAATATGAAAGATTACTTTCTGTTCTTCTTTGTACTGAAAAATAAGTGTAGATGTATTGTTTAATGATGCAACTTTCATGTCGAAATTTTTTATTATTAAAAAGTATATATATAACTGTTTTGTAAACATACTTAAAATCGCATTTTTTCTTATTTGCGATGAAAGGGGCAATTTTTTTCAAAACATGATTGAATGAAAATTCTTTTTCTGTCATGTTCAATATTGATTTCATAGATAATGCTATATATAATTGATTGTACAGATGTCTCTCTTTCGAAAGAATTTGAAACATTACTTTAGTCTAATTGAAAATTAAGGTTTTATTTACATAAGTAATTATCATAATTACACATTTCATCGGCAAAATAAAATTCTTAAAAATGCAGCTCATATTGCTTTAAATAAAAATAATTCTTTAACCTAGCAAATTGTTTCTAGTGACGGTAAAAAGTAATGCCCCCATTTATATTGAAAAAATAATACATATTTTGTTTAAAATGTAGCTTATTTTTTTATTTTTCCCAGTGAACTATTTGTTTATTTCCTTGAAAAAGACGTTAATGGTATCTAACAACCAAAGTGATAAACGTGCTGGGCTTTAATACTTTTCTATAAACTTCGTCTTACTTATGCAGCAATATACCTTCATCACCTGCATACGGAGTGTAATATCTCAGTTTTTTCGATAGATAAGCTAAAAATACAAAACTTTCCAATTACTGACAAAAGTTGTGAATTGCAAAAATTTTTTTTTTTTGCTGTCACATTTTTTACAAAGTGCGTTAAGTTCTATGTCTACACTGACATTGTAAAAAATATTGATTTAAACATTGAGCAAATTGAGTGAAAAATTTTTCAAATTGCTAATTTTAATTTATTTATACACAGAATTTAACGCAATTTTCTGTGTTTTGATCATAACAAAGTGCACATGGCGGGTGTGACCGGTCAATATGCACTTCCATGAGAAATTTTTTCAGAAGTGCTCTGTAATTTTTTTCAAAGTTTTATGACCAGAAATGTCCATGACTTGGAGATTGGATTTAGATATATGGTATTGATGTGTCTGAAAGTTACATTTTCTCAATTATTTAAAGTGACAATATAACGTATCTCTTTTAGCAACAGACTGAAAGCAAATATTCCTTGGAGCCCTGGATTTTTATTTAGGTCATTGATGTGTCTGAAAGTTATGTTTTCTCAAGTAACATTATGTAACTATGTTAGATCATTCCAAATTGAATTCATAGTCCTTTTAAGTAACAGTATAAAATATCTTTTTTCAAAAATTCTTTGTATCAGCAAATCAGTTGTTTTTATGAAAATTTTATTAGTGGTATTTAACCATTATTCTATATTTTTACAGCAGAACTAGTGGCTGAAACATTAGTAATGGACCCCCGGTATTTTGCTCAAGACGTCCTTAGGTGTGACCTCTGTGAAAGTAAGGTTGTACAAAGTCACTGTGAGCTTTGTCATATCAACTTGTGTAAGGCCTGTGTAGGAGAGCATCTCTCTGATTCAACCAAAAAACATAGAGTCGTACCATATAAAGATAGAACCTAGACTCCTAACTATCCAAAATGTCCAAAGCATTCCAAGAACTGTGAACTTTACTGTGACCAATGTGACAATCCTGTCTGTTCTACCTGCATTTCCTTAGGCAATCATAGAGGACATCATTTATCAGATGTTTTACAAAACATCATCTCCAAAATAAAAGACTTAAAAAAAGATTTAAAAGAACTTGAGACAAAAATTTATCCCAAATATGAAGAAATTGCATCTGACATGAAAAACAAAAAAGACAACTTGGAAACACACTACAGGAAACTGACAACAGCTGTCACAAAACAAGGAGAGGACTGGCACAGAGAAATTAACATCATTGTCAACAATCGAAAATCTGAAATTGATGAGATGAAAACTCAACACTTTGCTGTTTTAAATAAACAGGAAAACGAAATCAAACACATTACTGCAGAAGTGAAACAGTGCATACTTGATCTGAAGGAAATACTGGAATCCAATGAAGTGTCCCTAGCCTCAGCTTACAAATCCAGAAATGCTGAATTCAGATGTTTACCTCCAGACCTCAACGTTTCATTACCAACTTTCTCTCCTCATCAGATCAACACAGAACAGCTCCATCAAATGTTTGGCTCTCTGTCAACATTATCAATTACAACCGAAGAATGCGGTTACACAATCAAACCACTTCTTGATGAACCGGAGCTTATCACTAGCATAGACACTGGATATGACAAACTTTACAGTGTTACCTGCCTGAATGATGAGGAAATATGGACACATGGAAATGACAAAATCATGAAACTCTACAGCCTCAAGGGTAAATTACTGACATCAATCAAAACCAAGTCTAAGATTAATCCACGTGACATAGCGGTGACAAGGAGCGGTGATCTAGTTTATACTGATACTGATAAAAGAACTGTAAACATAGTGAAGAATAAACAGACACAGGAAGTGATCAGACTATATGGGTGGAAGCCTTTCTTTGTCTGTAGTACCTCCTCTGATGACCTCCTTGTTACCATGAACAGTGATGATGACACACATCCAAAGGTTGTCCGTTACTCTGGCTCAATTGAGAATCAAACCATTCAGTTTGATAGTGAAGGGGAACCTCTTTATTTATTTGGTTCTATTACATATATCAGTGAGAACAGAAACTTGGATATCTGTGTGGCCGACAACATGGCCAAAGCAGTAGTGGTGGTCAATCAGGCAGGAAAATTTCGATTTAGATACACTGGTCATTCCTCTAACAAGGGATCATTTTATCCTCTCGGCATCACAACAGACAGCCAAAGTCACATCCTGACAGCAGACTATTACAACCACTGTATCCACATCCTAGATCAGGATGGAAAGTTTCTCCATTACATTAATAACTGTGATCTAGATAGTCCATGGGGTTTATGTGTAGACACCAGTGATAACCTATTTGTGACTGAGAATATCAGTGGTAAAGTGAAGAAAATCAAATACATGTAAAAACTGCATTAAGTCAAGAAATGACTGTAAATAAGATTTGATTATGCAATGAGAGTTAAAAGTCGTCTGACTTAGGACTAATCAAATCACACGGACATTTTTTGAAGGTTTCGAATGTCTGTTGATTTTAAGACAAAGCACGGTTACTATCATAATTTTCATTATTTCGCGGGTTCCATTGAATCGCAGCACAGATATTAAATTCTGACACATAGCTCATATCCTTTTTGTTGATAGACTCTCTTTCTGTTGTCTAAATGTTGAATTTTGTGTTGATTTAAAAATTGAAAGTATGGAACATTGTTTGGAAAAAAAATATTCATTTAAAACAAAATATTACAAATTTTCATTGCCGTTTTTATTTTGAGCCCGTTGTATTTGTCTACACCTTACACCCAGTGTATACTTTACCATAATCAAGAGAAAAGTGCACACTTAAGGTGTACACCATCTACACCCTGTACATGGCATGCGTAGGGAATTGCACCGAGAATTCAATATTGCTGATAAATGCCAAGATGCCAAAACAACAGAAATTATTTTTTTCTGTATTTGACTTTACTGTCAAGTATTCGATAGGTTGGTTGTGATGAATTTGTTTTTAGCAATTTAGTGGACCGTGTTTTTTACATTTTGTGGAAAATAAAAAAGTTCATAATTTGTAAAATAAAAGTAAACTTGGATGATAAAGGTTCTAATTATTTTGACCATGTTTAGATACATAGTTTAAGGGGTAATCATTGGTATCTATGAAAATATCGTATAAAAATTCTTTGTCTTTTCATACAATGTTTTGTTTTTAAATGGGTTTAAAAATGTTCATAAAATTGCAACACAGATTTTATTTAAAATATCTTTTGCAAATAGGATCCGCTCATTTGGTTGAAATTTTGACGTCCATGTTGAATTTGCTACAATACACCCTATTTCACTTGATTTTAAGGTGTAAATCGTCTACATCGGGTGTAGTAGGGTCTAGACAAATCAGGCGCGCCCTTTAATTGACCATTGATTTTTAACCCTGTAAATCCAATAAAGGTTATATGTGGAAAGGATTAAGTTTGCATTATTGTTTAATTTACATGCAGAATCACATCGTAAATTTAAAAATTAAGTGTTGAAGTCCATGTCAACTACAAGTGTCCATGTTTCCCTATACTGCGATGAGACTCCAATTTAGGAAGTAAAAGACCCCCTGATTTAAAAAGAAATGACTACAAATTAAAAGCAGCAAGTTTGGAAAAAAATATGAAAGTTAAGCCAAAGTTGGATCAATGAATATCATTTGAGGAAAGGTTATTGTACAAGGGTCATTAGAAAGGTTCGTAGAGTTTTCTTCTTATTTTTTTTTAATTTAACGTCATAATATTTCCAAATTCTGTACACGTATTTTAACAACAAATTCAAATAAATTTAGTTTAAAAATTTGGAATATATCTTCATATTTATAAAAATTAACAAAGATTTAGAACAGTAAAAATAGGGTCATGGAGCGACGTCAAAATTGAGTAATTTACTAATTTTCACTTTATAGTATCTATAGCCATATTACTACTAATTGGAGCTGAAACGAAATAAAATTAATATGTGTAAACTACCGTATAGCCGGTTATTTTGGCAAAGATATAATTTTGGCCTTTTTTGGTGATTTATAAAAAAAACACCAAAATAAAAACCGCTTTATGTGTAGTCTTGCGTTTGTAAACTTCCAATTTTTGAATGATGGTTACGACAATTCACCATTGGAACCATCACCAAAAAAATACCACAAAGAGTTATAAATAGAGATACGAGGGTTGATCCGAAAGTAATGTCACAGTGTCTATATCTTAAATATTTGGCGTCATATTATCAAATATAATATATCAAAAGATGCATAAATATTAATCTAATTAACATTGAAATTTTAATTTAATAATGTTTATTTGAATTTATTTTATAAATGTTTAAAACATAGAGTAAAGGGGATGTCGCCGCGTCACAACTAAACGTCGCGTCTTAAAGTGTATTTTTTTTAGAATGAAAAAGACAAACGCATTGAAAAGATTCTAAAAAAGCATCTAATCTAAGTTTTTTTTTAAAAAGACACACTTCTCGCCATTTTCTAGTCTTTAATTGAAAATTAAATGACGGCATTGGTAATAATAAACAACGCTGTTTTACTCTGTTGAATTGAACAAAGGGTTTGTCGAAATGGGAAAAAAATGGCTCGACGAGTTGTAATGCATTGCTTCAAAATATGGGAATCATCATAAGTGACAGTAACGTTAATTAATCAGACGTACAGAATAAAGAATCTAAATAAGAGACATCTTAATAGATGGTTTCAGCAATTTTGGGCGGGTGATTGGTCACTGAATGATCTGCAGAGGATAAAAAGACCGAAAGATTGGAGATCGGTCGGAAACGTTCAATGGTGTCTGACGTCAAAAAAGACACATGTATAGAGTAACATGCACATATGAATTTCTAAGTTCTAAGTGTCTTTCCAACTGTTCAAAATATTTGACAGAGGGCTTAATTATGAAACGAGTGAGTGTATAATTGTACCAAGAACTCTTTAAAAAGTGGAACTGGTGAGCGTGTTTGCGAATCACAAATATTTCTTTAATGAAATGAAGGGGAAATGCTTAAAAATATGACGGTGTGTATCCGTCATATGACGTTATAATATTTAGGTGCGGCGACTACCATCAGCGCACATTGTTTCAAATCCGATATTTTGGAAAGTATACATCATATTTCTTTGAATTTTTCAGGTCCAATTTGAAATAAATAAAGCTTTTATCATGTATAATTTTGTTGCTTTACGTCGATTTATAGCAATTTTATCAAGGTTGTGACATTACTTTTGGATCAACCCTCGTATATCCATACTATTGACATTATTTTGATTTTCCGACACTTCACATAATTACCGACTGTAATAATTCTGCAGAATATGAAATATTTTCCCTGTTTTCAGTTTAAATGGATACGAGCTAGGTATATTAAAGGCCACATTTATGAATTTTAACAAAAAACACAATCTATAAACATGATCAAATTAAAAAAATGTTTTATTGAAAATGTGCCACACACACAATTTCAAATCCTGAAATCTGAGCTGCCACACAATTTGAGAGAGATTATGATTCTAATAATAAAAAAGTACATGTATGAAATCAAATGACTAAAAACTGGTGTAAACACGCAGTTGGTCTCTTGGTATGATAACTGTTGGTTATCTTTTTATGTCATATATAAACTAGAGAGTAAAATTGTCGTCCAGGAGCGACGATGTTGATTGATTGATTGATCGTATATTGTTTAATGTCCCTCTCGAGAATTTTTCACTCATATGCATTCGTCACCGTATGTCGGTGAAGGGCTTCAAAGTTTGACCTTTACGCGGCACTTAGGGCCATTGAGCAGTGAGAGATCTTTATCGTGCCAACGCCTGCCGCTGACACGGGGCCTCGGTTTTTAAGGTCTCATCCGAAGGACCCACAACTTTCACTTCCATGTGCCGAGGGCATGGCGAAGGAACAGTTGCTTCCCATTTTTTATCGACTTAGGTCAGTCGCGGCCGAGATACGAACTCACGACCTCCCGATCACGGAGCGGCGATGATGTTAAAATTACAGATGGGGCATATTACATTAAAACCGTTCTTTCTTGTCATTAAGTACTGTGTTGTTACTAATTATGCAGATTAGCTTATTATTGTTTTTAAAAAGAACATCAGATTTCATTTATTTAAATTGTTCAAAGGAAATTACTTTGAATTAGGTCATATATGTATCTGATAATTTATATTTCCGCAATATAATTATTATCAAATTTGAGGAAATAGTCTTTTTTAATTAATATTATTGATTTCCTTTGTTCAATTGTAAATGACTTATTTTTCATGAATTGTTTGTATCAGTACCTGTCACGCATCATAAAGTTAATATTATGAACTTTAATCAGCGGTATTAAAATCATTATGTCTCTCTTCTCCTTTTTACTGCAGTGTCAACTACGGCACATGACAAAACATCACAATGGACCCCCGGTATACTGCTCAAGACATCCTTAGGTGTGCCTTTTGCGAGAAACATGTGGTAAAAAGTCATTACGAGTTTTCCCATGTCAACCTGACTGTGTAAGTCCTGTATAGGAGATCGTCTCTCTGATTCAACCAAAAACCAAAGAGTCGTACCATATGAAGGAGGAACCTCAATTCCTGACTACCTGACAAAAATGCCCAAATCATTCCAAGAACTCTGACCTCTATTGTGAGCAATCTGACATACACAGCCAATTGTGCCTAACGTAAATTTATTGTTAATCTCAATTAACATTAAATTAACGTTAGCTTGATAATAGTTTAATGTTGCATTCGTGTTAAATTAATGTTATAATGGTTAAAATTAAATTAACGTTAATTTTGTATGTTAATTTAACTTTACATTAATCTTATGTTAATTTTTTAACGTTAATTTAACATTAAAATTTTAAGTGGGTGTGTGATCTGTCTTATATTTACATTTGCAAATGTTTTCCTTTATATAACACTACTGAAAGGAATGCGTATCTATAACTGTATAAATACAGGTACGGGGTCAAGAGGTCATAGATATGCGTATGGATAATCGTTTGACGTAATTTCTCAGTGATGTCATAAAGGGTCGACGCGCGTTCAGTGGATTACATACTTGCCGTTGAGTTTAAAAAATAATGCATTTCACACGCTAAAAGTCACAATTAGGCAAATATAAAGTATGGATAACTCACAAATGTAAATATAAGTAATAAGGTATCATTTTAAAACATCTATCGGGCTATTAAATTCATCATAAAGCCCTTCGGGCTTTATGGGATTTAATCTCGTGACCAACCCGTATTTATATCCCGATAGATGTTTAAAAATGATACCTTATTTCTTAAATAAAACTAGAACCAAAATATTAACATTAATTAAACGTTAATTAGTTAATGTTG